TTAAAAAAAAAAGAATGAATGGGTCTTGTGCTAAATAGTCTTACCTCGAATGGAAGGAGGCATTGATATGCTTATGACCTTGATTGTGGTCATGGTTGCGGAAATGTATGGCTGTTGTCAAGTAAATCCAGACGTGCACATCAAATGTGCCCTTGTGTGTTTGCTCCTCTTCCCCCACATCAGCTATACTTCCACAAAGCAATCTTTTAAAAAGAGGTATTCAAACTAACAAATTCATGCAAGACAGAAAAATAGATCTGTAAGTCCCTTCCTTGTCTGTCCCTGCACTAGTTGGAGGGCACAGACTCATGGGGACGTGTGGCCAGGGAAGGGTTTGCAGAGCTGTTCAGGCAGGGACTTGAAGGGTACCCCTAGAACTGAGAAAGTACTTAGTCCACGTGGGGACCTTATATCCTAAGGAAACTAGTCTAGGCTTTGGGCAGTCAAGCAATGACCACATGTTGGAGAGTGGGGTAGGTTAGATGGAGACAACAGAGGCAGCATCTTCAGGGAACGGACAAGTGAGTTCTAGAGAACCCGGCTCTCTGACCAGAATTTAACAAAAAAAACTGTAATTATGTCTCTCCTTCAAGTCATAACAAAAATGTGTTGTATATAAATCAAATAGCTGCAAGCAAAGTCAGAATTGAGTCCTGTATTCTCATCTAATAATTTTTATGACTTTGGGATAGAGAAGGTGCTCTTAAGCCAGATGAAAACATAAATCATAAACGGAAAGATTGATAGCTTCATTACATCAAAATTGCAAATGTTTGCAAAAGTCAGGCAAAGCCAAAAGGCAATTAAACAACACGACATGGGTATACAAAGGGCACAAACAACTCAGAGAAAAAAAAAAAAAATACTCCAAGCCTGGAAGTTAAGCCATGCAGCCTTGCTGGGTGTGAGGTTATCAGAACTGGGTGGATGGAGTTGTCAGTGTTAGCCTCACCTGGTGATTCTCAGCCTTCCTAATGCTGTGACCCTTTAATACAGTTTCTCACACTGTGGTGACCCCCAACCATAAAATTATTTCATTGCTACTTCATAACTGTAATTTTGCTACTGTTAGGAATCATAATGTACATATCTGATATGCAGAATACTCGAACCCTGTGAAAAAGAGTCATTAGGCCTTCTGAGGGATCACAACCCACAGGTTGAGAATCCCTGGTCAATAAAGAGTAAATGCAAGAAAAACATGAGCTGACTTTCAAAATAAAAATCTGGAAAGACTGGGGAGTTCAACATAATGACTTGCCATTAAATGCGGGTGAAAGGGTAAGGGTAAAAAGATTTTTATCTACAGTCCTAACAGCCCATATGACCAATACTTTCTTAACCAGGGTCAGAGTTTAACTCAACCAGCCTAGCTGTGGTAGCCACTGAAAGAAATCACCTTCAGGGAATGCTTGAAATTAGGCCTGTAATAATCAGCCCCAACTGTGGGGTGAATGCTGTGAGGGATAGTGGGAGTCAGTAAAAGTTCTCTTCTCTGTGTCTGTGACCCTAACCCCTAATAAACACTGGGCAACCAGGAAGACTAAAAGAATTCCAACCGTGACCCAAGAGAACACAATTCTGCTGCAAGTCGTCACACAGCTGGTCAAGGCAGCAGAACCAGATCCCTCTCCCTAGGCTCCAGAGCAACCCCACCCATACACACATGCCTCCATCTACTTTCCTGTGCTTTGTTCTTTAAATATGAAGGGCCACACACTTGGGAGAAAACTGCCACCATGAAAGGAACACTGTAAACCAGAAAAAAAAAAAAGAAAATTAAGAGAAATCCAAGATGGTGGAGAAGAGGACATAGAGAACTATACTGAATATCCCCAGAGAAGAAAGACATTCCACCGAAAGTCAGAATGCTGCAAAAGTCAACAGATATTTAGAATGAAAGCCTGACAACACTGAAAGGAAAAAAAAAAAAAAAAAAAAAACGCAAAATCTAATGAGAGTTGGAAATCTTTTTTTATATTAATTACAGTTTATTCACTTTGTATTCCAGCTGTAGCACAATCCTTCATTCCCTCCCAATCTAACCCTTCCTCCCTCATCTCCTCCCATGCCCCTCTCCAAGTCCACTGATAGAAAAGGTCCTCCTCCCCTTCCATCTGACCCTAACCTATCAGGTCTCATCAGGACAGGCTGCATGTCTTCCTTTGTGGCCTGGTAAGGCTGCTCCCCCTCAGGGGGAGGTGATCAAAGAGTCAGCTACTGAGTTCATGTCAGAGATAGTTCCTGTTCCCCTTACTAGGAAACCCACTTGGATACTGAGATGCCATGGGCTACATCTGTGCAGGGGTTTTAGGTTATCTCCATGCATGGTCCTTGATTGGAGTATTAGTCTCAGAAGAGACCCCTGTGCCCAGAATTTTTGGTTCTGTTGCTCTCCTTGTGGAGCTCCTGTCCCCTCCACGTCTTTCTATCACCTCCTTCTTTCATAAGATTCCCTGCACTCTGCCCAAAGTTTGGTTATGAGCCTCAGCATCTGCTTTGATACCCTGCTGGGTCTTTTGAGTCTTTCAAAGGCCCTTCATCCTGTTTCAGAGGCTCCTGTCCTGTTTCCTGTTTAATTCTTCTTCTGGTGTCCATCCCTTTTGTCTTTCTGAGTGAGGATTGATCATCTTACCCAGGGTCTTCCTTTTTGTTTAGCTTCTTTAGGTGTACAGATTTTATTATGTTTATCCTATATTATATGTCTAATATCCACTTATAAGTGAGTATGTACTATGTGTGTCTTTCTGCTTCTGGGGCACCTCACTTAGGATGACCATTTCTAGTTCCCACCTTTTGCCTGCAAATTTCATGATTTCCTTGTTTTTAATTGCTGAGTAGTATTCCGTTGTGTAAATGTACCACATTTTGTGTAACCATTTCTCAGTTGAGGGACATCTAGGTTGTTTCCAGGTTCTGTCTATTAAGAATAAAGCTGCTACGAACATGGTTAAGCAAATGTCCTTGGTGTATGCTTGAGCATATTTTGGATATATGCCTAGGATTAGTATAGCTGGATCTTGAGATAGCACTATTCCTAATTGTCTGAGAAAGCACCAGATTGATTTCCATGTGGTTGTACAAGTTTACATTCCCACCAGCAATGGAGGAGGGTTCCCCTTTCTCCACATCCTCTCCAGCATGTATCGTCACTTGAGTTTTTTATCTTAGCCATTCTGATGGGTGTAAGGTGAAATCTCAGGGTCATTTTGAATTGCATTTCCCTATGACTAAGGATGTTGAGCTTTTCTTTAAGTGTTTCTCTGCCATTTGATATTCCTCTGTAGAGAATTCTCTATTTAGCTCTGTACCCCATTTTTTAATTGGATTACTTGATTTGTTATTTTTTAACTTCTTTAGTTCTTTATATATTCTGGATATTAGCCCTCTGTCAGATATAGGGTTGGTGAAGATCCTTTCCCAGTCTGTAGGCTGTCGTTTTGTTTTGAAGACAGTGTCTTTTGCTTTACAGAAGCTTTTCAGTTTCATAAGGTTCCATTTATTGATTGTTGATCTTAGAGCCTGTGCTATTCAGGAAGTTGTCTCCTGTGCCAATGAGTTCAAGGCTCTTCCCCACTTTTTCTTCTAACAGATTTAGTGTGTCTGGTTTTGTGTTAAGAAAATTACACTCTTTACAATAGTCACAAACAACATAAAGTACCTTGATTTGACTCTAACCAAGCAAGTGAAAGACCTATTTGAAAAAAATTTTCAAATCTCTGAAGAAATTGAAGATATCAAAAATGGAAAGATCTCCCATGCTCATGGATCAGTAGGATTAACATAGTAAAAATGGCCATCCTGCCAAAAGCAATCTATAGATTCAATGCAATTTCCATCAAAATAACAACACAATTATTAAGAGACCTTGGAAGAAAAATTCTCAACTTCATATGGAGAAACAAAAAACCCAGAATTGCCAAAACGATCCTGTACAACAACAGATCGTCTGGAGGTATCTCCATCCCTGATCTCAAGCTGTACTACAGAGCAATAGTAATAAAAACTGCATGGTACTGGCATAGAAACAGAATGGTGAATCAATGGAATCAAGTAGAAGACCCAGAAGTAAACCCACACACCTACGGATACTTGATTTTTGACAAAGAAGCCAACCATACAATGGAAAAAAGACAGCATCTTCAAAAAATGGTGCTGGTCTAACTGGATGTCTACATGTAGAAAAATGCAAAGAGATCCATACTTATCACCCTGCACAAAACTAAAGTCCAAGTGGATCAAAGAGAGTTGGAAATCTTAATGCACAAGATAATTAGGTGAGAAAATGAGTAAAGGCAGACACACACACACATACACACACCCTGCCATGTGAGCCCCACTGCCTCATGGGCCTGAACTCTGCTCAGAGCCCATGGGCTACCATCTGTCTGTCTGTCTATCACACTAGTAACTCTTCTACTAATCTCTTACCCAACATGACAACCTGCCTCAGTGCAGCGCACACACACACACACACACACACACACACACACACACACACCCATTGAACTCCAAACCTGAGAGCTTCCCCCAGGCACATAAGAAGAAGCCATCTAACAGCTGCAAAGCATGTGCTCTCCCCTCAGGCACATGTGAGGTCTATCAACCACTATCAACCAGTGAGGTCTAGTTGTCATTTTCCAACTCATTCAGGAGACAGGTACAGAGTACATATATTTCCCTAGTCCATATAGACCAGTCACCCACAGGATCATTTCCTGAGACCTAAAACAACCTCAGTAAATTTTAAAATACTTCAAAAGAAAACCCAAAAATTATTTTCTCTGGGGGGGGGGGGAACTTAATTAGAAGCCAGTAACAATGTATGTGGAAAATTAAACTGTTTATAAATAAAGCAATACGTTTCTTCATTATTCATAGGCAAAGGGAAATAAAAAAAGAACATTAAAAATATGTCAAACCATAGCAAATGTTGCACTCCAAAATTTAAGGATGTGACAACCTTTTACACAAGATTTAATGTAAGAATTTGTAGCTGTGTTCTCTTTGGAAGTACACAGGCCAAAATTAGAATGAGACAGAAAAGATTAGCATGGACCCTGAGCAAGGATGATATGAAAATTTGTGAAGAATTCCATATTTTGAAAAAAATGAAAAGAAAAGAATTTATAGCTTTAACTGCACACATTAGCAAAGAGCACCCCACCATTAAGCATTATACCTTCTACCACAAACTAGGAAGAAAGCATAAAGTAAGCCGAAAGGATAAAAATAGTAAGGGACAGAATTAAATAAATTTTAAAATAATGAAGCCAGTAGAGTTTTATTACCCTAAATGTTGACAGTCCTTTCAAAACAAATAAGCAACCAAACACACAAACTACTAACAGAACAAGAGAATAAACAACACAACAGAGTCCATAGATGCTGATGACATAAGACAGGAGTATCAGAAACTCAGTTAAATGAACGAGGTGGGAAGCTGTAGCTTCACCCACAGAACAAACAGAAAAAGAAATGTAGACACTTAAAGAGGAATAAAAAAATAGAAGCTTTGCCACAAAAAGCTGTACTCTAGACCAAGAAGATCCTATCAATTAAAGAAACAATACCAAAGAGAAAAAGAAAGTGACTCTTTTTATGAGTCTAGTAATAATCATAACTGGATGAGCAAATAAGTAAACAAGAGCCCCTCCATTGTCTCCAGGAGTCAGGGACAGCCTGGACTATCCATCAACCACCTGGCATAAAACCTTCCCCAGAGACCTATAAGAAAAAAACTCACCCTCCCCACTCCCCATCCCCTGCCTCATAGACCTGAACCTGCTCAGGGCCCATGGCCTACCATCTGTCTGTCTATTGCATTCATAACTCTTCTACTAATCTCTTACCCAACATGACAACCTGCTTCAGTGCAGCACCCCCCACTGAACTCCAAACCTCAAGCTTCCCCCAGGCACATAAGAACAAGCCATCTAACAGCTGCAAAGCATGGGCTCTCTTTTCAAACGCATGTGAAGTGTCCTCTAGGCTGGATCACACATGAGGCCACAAGACAATTTTAAACAAAGTTAAGATTTAAATCATGTGGAATTTCCTCTCTGGCTGCAATGGAACCCATCTAGGAATCTATGACAAAAGAGAAAAAAAAAAAAAAAGGGACTCACAGACATGTGACAATTAAGCAACTTGCTTTTTTTTTTTTTTTTTTTTTTAGCAAGTTTAGATCATTTTAAATTTATTTGTTTTTATTTTCTTACAGGTATTGTGTACTGAGCACATCCCACCCAACCCTGTTCCTCCATTCTCCCCTTTCCACCCTGCTGCCTCCAGTTAGCACCCTCCATCTAGACAGTTTCTTTCCCACTTTCATTAATATAAAAAGAAAAAAAGGTGATTTTTATGTTACCATTCACAAGTAAGAGGGAACTTAATGGCTTTTGTCTTTCTGAGACTGGCTTGCTTTGCTTAATACAGTTGTCCCCAGTTGAATCAATTTTCCTGTAAATGATGTCAGTTCATTCTTCTTGTGACAGAAAAGACTCTTACTGTGTGCATGTACCACATTTCCCTAATCCGTTCCTCTACCAGACACCTAGATTGGCTCAGTGGCCTAGCTATAGGTCAAAGAAGCGAATCATAAGAGAACTGGAATACTAATCTGAAAGCAGATGAGAACAAAGATGCACATACCCAAATTATAGATTGTGCCAAACGCAGTATTAAGAAGAAAGAATGTAGAAAGAAATGCTAGCATTCAAAGGAAAATCAAAACTGAACAACTCACAAAGCTAGGAAGAGGACAGACTTAACCAAAGACAATAGAAGACTTGATCAGAAATTGAAACCACACACACACACAAAAAAAAAAAAAAAGACAGAAAAAGTCATAAAACCAACAGTTGTTTCTCTTAACAAAATTGATGAACTATTAGCTATGTAAATGAAGACAATGGAAGAGCATTGAACTTAAAGCAGAAAAGAAATGGAGTCTACGACAGTAGTGTTACAGAAACAGGGATCTTGAGAGGGCTCACATTTTGATTTCTCTCCCCCTTATGAAGCCATCAGGATGCAGTCATGGTGGACACACCTATATTAGTTAGGGTCCTCTAGAACAGTGGTTCTCTACCTTCTTAATGCCGCAAGTCTTTAATACAGTTCCCCATGTCATGAGGACCCCCAACCATACAATTATTTTGTTGCTATTTCATAATTGTAATTTTGCTACTATTATGAATCATGATGTGATATGCAGGATATCTGTGAAACAATCCTGTGAAAGGGTTGTTGAACTCCCCAAAAGGGTTGCAACCCACAGATTGATAACTGCTGCTCTAGAAGAACATAGCTAATAGAACATATGTGTGTATGTATGTATGTGTATATATATATATATAAAGGAGACTCATTAGAATGACTTATGGGCTGTCATCCAGCTAGTCCAACAATGGCTGTCTACAAATGAAAAGAATCCAGTAGGTTTTCAGGCTGCGTGTCTCAGCTGGTCTAGATCACACACTAGAATCCTGAAGAAGTAGGTTCAAAGGATGCCCTTGCTAACAAGAGTGAGAGGCAAGCAGACAAAGAGAGAGAGCTTCCTCTTTCCATGTCCTTCATATAGGCTGCCAGTAGAAGGTGTGTCCCGATTAAAGGTGACTTTTCCTAACTCAAAAGATCCATACTAAAGGTAGGTCTTCCCACTTCAAATTATTTAATCAAGGAAAAAGAACACATCAGAGGTGTACCTAGCTGCTTCAGTTTTAGTTAATTCCAGATGTAGTTGAGTTGACAACCAAGAACAGCCATAACAACACCCCAACACCTTGTTAAGTTTAATCACCTCCCAGAATTGCCACTTTTAAGCACCATATTTAAGTGTCTAATGTCTTAATACCTCACAATGAGTATTAAATTTCAACACACAGCTGCTGCATGTCATACTCAAACCACACCCAGCTACAGCAGGGACATTTCTAGAGACTTGAAGGTAGGGCAGACATCAAACATGTACATTCTGGGAGCAAGAGCAGCTCAGTCAGAGAGAACAGCCAATGTGAATACCCTGAGGCAGATACATGCTAAGGAAACTTACACACCAACCTAGAGAACAGGACACAAGCCTTCTCTCACCAATCCAAGTGCTCTGTCCGTATGTCTTTCTCTCTCCCAAACACATGCACACACGCATACAAGCATGCACACACACATGCACACACAAACACATACACACATTTGCATATAGTCTGTACAGTCCTATTCCCTTCTCTCATTTTTCTTTCTCAGTGACATTTATCCCTTTTCTAGGATGACTGACTTATCCCAGCTTGCCTAAGATTTCCCCACTTTCAGCACTGAAGTCTAGTGTATGAGAAGTCTCTGAATCACAGGCGGCCAGAGGCAGTGGTCCCCAAATTTCAACACTATTAATGATTTGTCTATTGTATATTTCCTGGCTTTCCTGTGCAAAACACAAGTGGGGGGGGTAACAATGATTGATTATTTTATCCAAGTGTCTCAATGGGGCCTTGGCACATAGTAGGCACTCTATAATATTTATTGAATGAATGAACAGTGGGTAGGAGAATAAAAGATCAGAAAGGTGACATGAACCAGGTCATGTGGAGTTTTGCTGGCACTGTGAAGACCTTGAACCTGATTTGAGTAGGGTGGGAGACTCCTAGGGAGATGCAGACATAAGCACATTTCAGCCTTTCAGAAATGACTCTCAAGGGAAGTCACTGAGGAGACCCCAAATAAGCTGGCAGGTGATGTTGTCTCTGGCTAGGGTTCACCAGCAAAGGGGAGAAGAGGCCACACATTTCCAAAGCGAGGTCTACTAAGAGCAGCACCAAAAACATTGCTAAGGGTGGATATGGGATTTATTCTCAGAGGGGGAGTGTGTAGGTAGCTTTGACTCAGGCACAGGGTTGCTGGGAGATGAAAGAACTAGAGCTGGGCGTGTCACACCTTATAGTTTGGAGACAAATGGATTCTCTGCTGCCTTGCAGCTCCCTTTACCTAACACTGTGCCCAGCACTGGAACAACCTGCCCATCTTTAGCAGCTCATGGTGGTCTCTCTCCCGCCTTGCTGAGAATTATAAGTCACTGATAAAGAGAACACAGCAGTAATTTTAAAAGATGCCAGATCAAATCAGCAGTCTCTTAGGCCCTGGCTTGAGAAGTTAAAAACATGTTTCCTATAAAGAATTAATGTCAAAGAATCTCCAAGAAAAAGTGGTGGAATAAAAGAGGCTTTTGGCAAGTGGGGTACAAGCCAACGCTGTCTTAGAACATTTCCTTTGAGACAGGGTCTCATTATGTAGCTCTGGATATTCTGAAACTTACTATATAAATTAGTCAGGCCTTGACCCCACAGAGATCCACCTGCTTCTGCCTCATAAGTGCTGGGATTAAAGGCATGTGCTACTATGCCCAGCTTAGAAAAAAAATTTAAAATACAAAGCCACTGTAAGTAAAATGTAGTAGAAAATCCACAAACAAAGAAACTGAGTATGTGATAGAGTACTACATGTCAGAGGGAGAAGAGGTTTAATCTAAATAAACATGTCTGGAATGACTGACTATCAATGATGGGGAAGAGAAGACAGCTTTCCTTTCATCTATATAAAAAGTAGCCTTGTGGCAACTACATATACACTGATTAAAATGTAGCAATAGGAAGTGGGGTACAGCTGAATGATGGAGCACTAACAACCTAGGTTTGATCCCCAGAACCAGGAGAAAAAGTGAAGGGAGGCGGGCGGCAGGGGAAGGAGAGATGAATGGCAGGTGAAAAAAAACCTGAGAAAATACTACTTTCCTGGAAAATGCCTCTGGCATTTGTATTAGTGTGTGTGCTTTGAGGAGACTTATCAAGCAAGACAGGAAACTCAAAAAGCAGAGCCTAGGAAAGAAACATTTGACTAAGCAGTGAATGTTTGAAATTCAACGTAAGAGACAATAAGCATAGTCAGAAGACAGAACAGTGATATGAGATGAGCAAAGCAGCTCTTGTATCACCCCTTCTCTCTCTCTCTCTCTCTCTCTCTCTCACACACACACACACACACACACACACACACACACACACACACACACACACACAGAGCTTCTATAAAGAAGCCCTGATAAAAGCTAGTC